GTTTTATGCTGATAAAAGTTTGTGCTCTTTGTACTTGAAAGTCACTTCAAGTGTTACTCTACTTTCTTCTGACCTTGAGGATTACTGTAGAAAAAGTCTGGTGATAATATAATTTTCTTTTCTTTATAAGTCATATCCCTCTCTAAAACTGCAGGGATAACCAAGGGATTTTTTTTCTCCCTATTCTTCAAAGTCCAGGAATTTTACTAGAATATATTTTGTGTTGGTAATTTTGAGTCGATATTTTCAGATATGAAGTGCGATCTTTCAATATGTAGCTTCATATTATTTTTTTTTATATACAGGAAAGTTTTCTTGAATCAATTTTTAGTATTTATTTGTTCCTTTGGCTTGATTTTCTTCTTTGGGGACTCCTATCATCCATATGTTTGATCTTTTTATCCTATTTTCAATGTTTGTTACTTTTCTAGAATAATTTATATTTTTCTTCATTTGTTTTTTATTTTTTAGAAAAATTTTCTTCTTTTTCAGTTTTCATTATTCTTAGGCATTACTGGTTTTTGCCTTTGTACTCTTTTTAGTTTAGTCTTCATTTATGTGATAGTTTCTTCCATTGCTAATTCTTTCCTGAGGTCTATCACCTCACTTCTGAGTTTTTAAATTCCGTCCAGGCATATATTAATATCTTTTAGCTTATTTTAAAATAATAGCTTACAGTCTTGTTCTGTTTTGCGGACACATCTTTCTGATGTTCTTTCATTATCTGTAGGGAAGTTATTCTGCTCTATTTTTTCTCTTTTACTTTTGATAATTTTGTATTGGAGTTGACCTTGATAATTTGCTGTTGCTCATTTTTATGTGATATTAATTTTCCTGAACTTTTACCATAAGGCAGGGTTCAGAAAATTGTGTCCAAATTCAGAGATTTCCATCTTCCCCTGTTGTTATAAAGTGTTAAAAAATAGTGTGTTTTTAGGATTTCCTGACTCTGTTCCTCCCTCTGGCTGTAAAGCACTTGAAATATGGCTAGTGTGACTGAGAAGCTGAATTTTAAATTTTAATTAATGTTGGTTATTTAAATTATTTTAATTAATAATTTAAATTAATTATTTGGTTATTTAATTATTGGTTAT